TTAATATTAGTTTTATCATATGTAGGTCAGATAACCAAACCATATTAAAGTATTATGTCTCTTTTAGTATACTTCGTTATGCCTTTTGATCTATCGTTGTTGAGTTTTATTTTATTAGATTCTGCATGACGCCTTGTTACTTTCGATCCCAACATAATAAACCCAGTAAAATCTCACAAATGGGATCTAAGGACCTTGGTGATTGTGGTATTTCAAGAATGATGAACTGCTAGTGAAATTTAAATTCAATTACTAGATGCCATATGAAGAATTATGTTGTTTTATTCCAAACATAAAAGTAAACACTATTAGTGAGCACGGGCCAAATCACATGTTTTATAACATCTTTCTTGTACCACTTCCATCGTTGTATAAATGCAAAAAAGCCAGATATGTCAGTGAATTATGCGAATTAGGATAGATATGCCCGTCGTTATTAGTTTGGCACAGATATGTTAAAACCGTCCGATACTTACTCATTCATGCCCTTAGTTAGACGTAACCCACTAATTTATCTTTCTTACACAATTAATAATCGGACTAAACCAAAACTTGCTGACCCGTTCCGTTATGACTCGACCCACCGTTATTTCTAGATGACCCCACTAGTTATTCCCTTCATATTCGTATATTTTTATTTCTATTCCTATTCCTATTCTCTCAAGCTTTTCTCCTTATTTTCACAACTAGGGTTTCTATTTTTGAGGGATTTTCAATCGAAGGGGTGTATTTGTCCATTTTCCGCTAGTCTCGACTAAGGTATGACTACTTTATACTTTCTTTGTTGTTATATATGTGAGTTCGAATTTCTTCTTATGTGTATCATATGTAGGGATAAACTATGATATGTTAGAATCCATTAAAGAGTGATATTTTTTATGATATCTTTTTGTATTTTAACATGCGAAAGAACAAAATACAGTCAATAAAGTTGAGAATTTTGATGGTTTTGTCGGGTGGTTGGGTCTTGGACAATATCTGTTTTTTTTTTTTTTTTTTTTGCAGTTGAATATGGCTTTATATATACTAATGTGGTCCCTTCTTTTTCATTTTTCTATGCCTTTGCATGTGAAGTCCGTTGAAGATGATTGATATATAAAGCGGACTTGGTGTTCCACTATGGGGGTAATTGGGTATTTTTCCCTGAGATAGTATAACAAGATGCTTGTGTACGCTTTGTCTGGTTATGTCTCTTATCTGGTCAAATATGACTTTATTTGTGAAGAATTTACAAAAAATTAGGGTTTAGTTCTATAAAACAACTTTTAGTGACTGGACCTTCGGGGAGGTACTACTTGGTAACTGATGACGAAGTTGTGAAGACTCTTCAGTACTTATTTTCTTAAGACTTCAAGGTGATTAATTTCTTTGTTGTTGATGAGTCTGACCTAAAGGTGTGTGCTCAAAATATTACTCATAATTCAGAGACATATTCTATAGACATTGATGTAGTTTTTGAATGTGAACATAGTCTTGGGGGAAGTGACTTTGATGAATCAGATAGTTCTGACGGTGATTCTAGAGAACTTGATGGTATCATCAAAAAAAGAAGATGGTTGTAACTGATAAGTTGGAACATTTTAAGGAGTTAGAGCTAGGTATGACATTTAAGGATATTGTAGTAGCTAGAACGATAGTAAACTTTTATGCACTAGTCAATAAAAGAGAGTTGAAGCTGCTCAAAAATGATACGACTAGGGCTACTTACAGGTGTGCTAAAGGCTTCCCTTTTATATTGTATATTTCAAATGATGCCAAGTGTATTACCATTAGAATCAAGATATTGAGAGATGAAAATACATGTGATCCTTGTTTCAGAAATCCTAGGGCTGATCAGAATACCTTGGCTCAATTATTTAAGAGAAATGTGTAGTACAATCCTAAGTACAAGTTAAAGAATATGAAAACTGAATTGGAGACTGGTTTTGATTTAAATATGTCCAAAACTAAGCTCAAAAGGGCCAAGGGGTTGGCTCTTAAGAAGTTGGAGGGCAGTTTTGTTGATGACTACAACAAACTTGAGGCATATGAACAAGAAGTAAGGCAATCTAATCCTAGCAGTGATGTTGTGATCAATATATCAAAGGATGCTCTTGAAGAAGGGAAATTTTTATTAAGGATATACATATGCTTCATGCATTGAAAATGGGCGGAAAAGTGGCTTGAGAACACTGATTGGGCAGGATGGTACCTTTCTTAAGGGTAGTTTTAAGGGTCAATTGTTAATGGCTATTGGTCAAGATTCTACGAACCAATTTTATCCTCTTGCATGGGTTGTGGTACACAAGGAACCTGCTAGTATTTTGGGGGTGGTTTTAGAGTGTTTGAAGCTTTCTCTGGAGCTAAATGATGGACAAGGAATGACTTTCATCTAACATATGCAAAAGGTAAACACTATAACTTTCATCTCTGATTTCTATTGTTCTCTTCTATACACTAATATATTTTACCTTTTCTGACTGTTTGTTCCTATTTTATTATAGGGTTTAATTGATGTTGTGCAGAATATACTTCCTGAAGCTCAACATAGATTTTCTATAAGATATATTGAGCAAAATTGGCAGAAGAAGTGGAGAAGTAGACATATGAATAAGTTGTTGTGGTAGTGTTCTTGGAGCATTTATAAAAAATATTTCAAAGATCAACTAAGAAAGATGGGTGAGTTATGCGAGGATGATGATGCTTCTGCTGGCAAAGATCTCTTTCATTATCCTTCCAGTCTTGGTGTAGAGCATATTTTAACACTCAGTATAAAAACATGATGGTCGATAATAATTTCTTTGAGTCGTTTAATGCATGACTTCTTGAAGCTAGACATATGCCAATTATCAAGATGCTCGAGGAGATTAGGATAAATGTTATGAATCTGTTGGCTATCAATGAATAAAATCAGGTAATGGAATGAATATGAAATATTCTGCTTCTGTTTATATACTATCCATTTTCTTATATTTTCATTTGACTTCTTGTATCCATTTTGTCTAAAAATGGAATGGTGACTTTAGTTCAAGTGCTTTGATGCTTTACAAAGACTATAGGGCAATGGTTCCTTATTGCAAGGTTGAGTATAATGGTGACTTTGGATATGAAATCTTACAAGGTGATGATAGACATACCGTGGATCTTAAACATAAAACATGCACTTCTAGATTATGGCAACTTTCTGGGATCCATTGCCCCCATGCTATCAAAGCTATAATATGTGATAGGGTATGAAATATTTTAAATTAGTTTTCTTTTTTAACCTCATATTTTCCAAGTTATCTAATTAGTGTTATTTCTTACTTTTGAAGGGTGATCCTAAGGCAAAAATTCCTTGGTACTATAGCAAATGAGCATATTCCTTGACTTACAAACACAAGTTTCAACCAGTTAGGGGTATAAAATTCTGAAAAATTGATCCTAGCTAAGCAATGGAACCACCTGAAATTTTCAAGACTGTGGGCAGACCCAAAGTAAAGAGAAATAGAGAACCGAATAAAATCAAGGAAGAGGGAGTAGAGTTATTCAAGGAAAGGAACTGTGATGACATGCATCAAATGTGGTGGAGAGAACCATAATGCTAGGACTTGTTTCAAGATAAAACAAACTTATAATTGAATTTTAAAGTATGACAAATTCTTATTAACTCATTCTTTGGATAACGGGACAAAGATGGTGGAGAGAGTACAATATCAAGTAAAAGGAAGCAAAGGGATGGTAGAATATCGACTCTTAGTACTGAAGATGATTGGTTGGAATTTGAATCTGAAACTGAAGCACGGACACATCAGATTACTCTTCTCAAGTCGCAACACAACAATGACAAGCATATGGTCCAGATATAGGTGATGAGGAAGATCCATCATTGAGGCCATAAATCATCTTTGAGTCACAATCAATACTTAAAGCAAGAAGGTTGTAAGCAAGACTATCAACTGGGACAAGAAGAATTTAATTTACTGAGAATGCAAATGGAGTGTCCATGCCCAAACTTGCCTTACTCATCAACTAAGGCACCTTGGAAGGGAAAATGTGCACTTACACTTAGTCAGCTCCAAGCTCAAGCAAGAAAAAAGAGAATGAAGATGGCGTAAAATGGGAAAGGAGCCCATGAACCAAATTCTGAAATTTAGCAAAAGCTGGGCAGATCATCATTTGGCTAGTTATGTTTTTGATGGATGGTTGTGTACGAAACTGGTGATAGTTGTCTAATTATTTTTGTGAAAAACTTAATTAACTTAGTTTATGGATGATTATTATGCACAAAATTATTCGTTTTTGGTGAACTCACAATCACATTTGACATGTCGAGGGTTGATATGTTTATGTGAAAATGAATTTCAATTAGTATCTAAGTTTGTTAAGGTTAATCATTTGTACACAACTGTTGGTTTAACTGATATGAATGTTATCTTGGTTTAGTGGATATGAATGTCCTTTTAGATTAATAGATGCGAATGTTTTTGGTATATGAATATTTCTAAGGTTGTTGTGACAACGGAGGCAATTTCAGTTGTGTGTCGTCTTTATAGAAGTTCAAGCCGTACTTTATCGGTGATAACCCATAATTTGTAGATGCAAGTTTGTATATGTCGGTGATAACCCATAATTTGTATACGCAATTTCAGTTGTGTGATGTGTTCATTTGATAAGCATAAGTCCACATTTTTTTCTTCCGTCTTACAGGCTTCAACACTTAACCAAAATTCTTTATTTTTAAGTTATTTAAGGCTATTAAATCTTACTTAAAGACTCTTAAAGCTCAAGAAAAAGGTATAAATAAGTTGGAAAAATCTTAACTTATCACACATTGTGTTGTTGAATGAGAAGGGGAGAAGAGAGAAATGACATAGAAACATTTTATGTTTGTTTTTTATCCATGGTTCTAGCCTTCTAGGTGTACTATGCGTTTTAATCTCCATTGCAGTTATATCATCTGCTAATCAAATATGTGTGAGGATTGCATTTGAAGTACAAATAGTGGCTTTGAAAAAGAACATTGCTTATCAAACCATCTATATGACACAAAAATAATATTGCATTCCAAACCATCTAAAACATTTCCGATTACATTTATCCAACCATTACATTACAATGCATCTAAATTATACAACTAAAATAATCATAAGCAATTACAAACATATTTCAAGTCTTCCCTCAAACATGAAACTATCCACAATCCCAATAATGAAATCCAATAACATAAGAAATAATTGTCTCCCCGTTTCCAACTCTTTCTTTAAGAAGAGCATCCTTTTCCATTTTCAATTTGTTGATGACAACAACAGCTCTTGGTGGAAATTCGTCGTCTTCTCATTCCCAATAACCACATCCAGCTTTCTGCAATAAAACATTAACATCATAACAAAAATCGGTTAAAAATAAACATTAACAAGGAAAAAGAGAAATTTACATCAGGCTTATGACACCTACAAAAGCATCTTCCGGGACTATTTCAGTCTGCAATGTGAGATGGAGTGCAGCAACACCACATCCACACATCCTTCTACGGCTATTTGAAGAACTCGAACATTCCAACATTTCAAAAGCAAATGAAAGAAATAAGAGAGCAAAGTGGGTGAAAATCAAACAAGATAACTAACCTACTTAAGAATAAACTCAATATATCGAGCAGATTGAACCGTAATGAGGATTTTAGAAAAGAGCCATCTTCATGAAGAGAGAGTGTGAAAAGGAAGGGCAAGAAATAAGAGAACAACTAGTGGGCTCATCTAGAAATAAGGGTGGGTCTGATCATAACGGTTCGGGTCAGTAGATTTTGGTTGGGTCCGGTTATCAATTGTGTAAGAAAGACAAATTAGTGGGTTCCGTATAACTAACCTATTAATTTGTGCATATTTATGCCAAATTAATAACGACGGGCATATCTATCCTAATTTGCATAGTCCGTTGGCATATCTAGCCCTTTTTCTTTGTATAAATATTGAAATGCTGTGATGTCCAATAGTGAACCAGTCAATAGTTTCACCTTAAATATTTTAAAACTAGATGGACCATGATCGTGCTTAGCGCCCTAGCAATTTAATATTAGATGCGCCATGACCGTGTTCAGCACTGGCCCAACAATTTGAACCATTAATTAATATTTTTTTTTTTATCCATTTCTTAAGTTTATTGGTTCTTAATGAATAAAAGGGCACTATGGGTAGATAAGAAAGAAAATTCTCAGTTTCAGATGGGAAGTCAGAAAGCTTCCATTTTGTTATAGATTTCCTTTATTATCTCTGAAATGAAATTACTCACTAATTACAGTTGATGAAACAAGCATCTATAAACATTTGATGAAAGTGCTGCAGAAATTACACATTCGCCAACAAACGCAGTTAAAGTAAGCAATATTTACGCTAATAGAGAAGCTAGACTACAAAATAAAGTAGCGCAAAAGATATATGCGCTACTTTCCTCCTCACTATTTCACAGGAAACATCTGCTACAAATTGATACACCTCTCTCTGCAGGTCGTTTTGTGTGAGACAAAGCATCATGCATAGGATTGCATTGCCAAGTGTTTTCACAAGAAAGAGAGTAATCTTCAAGGTTGCTTCTTCAAGACCATTTATAAGTGTACACACCCCCTTCTACCAATTTCAGTAAAACTGTAGAACTTGATTTAGTTTCTACAGTTACTATCAAAAAAGGGAGGAAACTGAAACCACACTCTCTGCTTCATTGGGGTCCAATCAGGGGGTTGTTTCTCTGGCACAGTCAAATACAAGTGCGCAAAATATCTAGCATGTCAGTGACCTGCAATAAAATAAGATGTTGAAGGAACACCTAACAAGACAAACCTTATCAAAGAAGAATATTAGAAGAAACTAAAACCTATCTCTTGCTTAAGAAATAGCTTTGAAATGCTCGGGAGCCGCATCACAGTGTTCACTTTCAATAGCAGTATCGAGCAGGATGAAGTTTTCATCAAGCGAAGATACAACAAGCAAAAGGGCACTTCCAATGTCACCAACCTTTTCTAACAAGAAAGCAGCTGTATCTACAATTCCATACTCCCGGCATAAAGCAAGCAGCATTCCACCCTATAGTTTTCGAAAGTCACCAAGAATCGGACAACTGACTTGCGCTCATACCTGCATAATAGCTACATTAAAAATTTATAAGGAAGACGTTGGACTTACACGTAATAAACTAAACTGCATCCACAGAATTATGATTTGTAACTAGGCTCTATATGGAAGTGGCTTCTGAAGCAGACTTTTATGCAAAAACTCTATATTCTGGTTTTCACGACATATTCTGGTAGTTATAATCACTAACGGCAGAGAATTTGTACTAAAAATTGCCAGAGCACTTCTTTCGGAACCAATAAGACACTGACTGAAAAAACAAAAAAACAAGATAGCTTTAGAAAAACAGGCTTACAAGCAGTCAATCCTATCTGCTGGAGGCAGAAGAGAAGAGGTATTTCCATTAATACAGGGCATATCAGGAGAAAATTTCATACTAGATAAGTTGAAACGACATTGAAGGAAAAGAAAGTGAACTAGAAAGGCTTTCTCACCTATATATCATAAAAGGTAGACCTCTAATATGGAGAGCTGTTGACAATGAATGAGTACAAGACCAAAAAGACGGTACGAAACAAAATTTGCTTCCATGTTTAGACAAAATTTGACTTTTGCTCAGAACATCCAAAGACTAACTTTTTTGATAATCAGGTTAACTATTTTAGTGGAAGGTACAGGATAGAAGCAAGGATGTGAAAAATCAAAGGAAGGGATTGGGGCAGCCTAGAAAGGAATTGGTACTGAGACAGCACAACCAAGGACTGAAGTCAAACTTATGTACAGAGGATGTAACTGGTAATACTACTCCCCTCTTAAAGACCAATTCCCCTCACTTTACAAGCTGTCATGGAATACTACTCTCACCTTGGCACAAAGCAGAGAAAACAACAATTGCAACATCAACTTCAGGAGGACCTTCACTAATTGGGAGATATGGGAAGTATCTCTGATTTTTTCAGCTTTCCTCATTCCAAGGTTCCAACAGCAGTGATGATAAGCTCATCTGGTAAGGTCAAGGAAATGGCTCCTTCACTGTCAAATCTTGATATAGAATACCTCTCAAAGGTACCAATCAGACTACTTTGGACCGGAAGCAGATATGGTAAGCTAATGCACCAGTCAAAGTTTGTGTTTTGTGGGGCTGGTATCTAAGAAGCTTGTCTGACTCAAGATAATCTACAAAGAAGGGGCACACATGTATTCATCAGATTACTTGTGTAGGGAAGAATCTAAAACCAACAAGCACTTTTTTATGCACTGTTCTGTTACCTTACAAGTCCGCCAAATTATTTTTAATCAGCTGGGAATGAAATGGGCCATGTCAAGAACAACCGCACAGTTCCTTTTGAGCTGGAACAAGATGGTTTGACCAAGAATTTAAATTAGGCATGGTATACAATCCTCTTAGTAGAGTGGCTCGCTATGGAGCATAATCAGGTGGATTACCTCTCGAGTTCTGCTACCAATGTATTTCAAATAGGATTATGCACACCTGAGAACCACCAAGTCATCAACATTAGAATCCAGAGAATACCAGACTACTTAGAAACTTCAAACAAAAGTAAGAGTTAAGACATACACGTAGCCAGTGGCTTAAAACAGTTTACAAAGGGAGTTCTGAGGGTACTCAAGCTACAAGGTATAGCTCCACACAGAAGTCCATATCCTGCTCATGCACATGGAGCAGTAAGGGGATGAAGCCCAGCAATATCAGAGAGATTGCATAACCAACCTCTAGCTTGTGTACATCATAAATCTTCTTTTGTTAAGGAGCAAATCAATCATAAGACGAGCTTCATGCGACTTATTTTCTTCATCTAGCATACAAATTAACAATTTAAGATTATGACCACAAGGGACATATTTATGGGCCAGCATATCTTCACATATCTTCAGTGCGTGAACACTCCAATTATTAGCACAAAGAGAAGTGAGAAGATTCTCATATGATGCCTTAGAAGGGGCAAACCCTTTTTTGAGCATTGTGTATGAGATCGAAAGAGCATCAATAAGCCTTCCATGCTTGCATAGACCTCTTATTAAAGTGTTATACACAATTTTATCAGGAGAACAACCCTGTGCATTCATTCTGTTGAAGAGACTAACAGCAAGATCAATTTCGCCACTTCGGAAATGCCCATCAATTAGAATAGTAAAAGTAACTTGATTCGGTTGGATGCCCTCACTTTGCATCATATCCAGGTGCTTATATGCATCCTGCATCTTCTCTGCCCAGCAAAACCCTGAAATTATGCCATTATACAAGTACAAATTTGGCATTAGGGGGGTGTTCTTCACTTTGTTTATCAGCCTAAGTGCAAGAAATTTAATTTGTTCCTGAGAGCTAATTGAGATTTTCAAACATTTTTCCCTAGAAAACATAGCACTCTGATGAAGTAGACGAAACAACATTTCCTTGGATTTTTCATACTGCTTCTGCGGAACAAGCCACTTCCCATGAAGTGACCTAATATTTCTAGAGACGCCACTGACCAAAGTAATATAGGTTACCAGGTCTCGCTCAATCTCACTTCTTTCCATCAAATCAACCAACTTAAATGCAAATTCAAACTCTCTTTTCCTTAAAAATTGTTTTATTAGAGAAGTATAAAGAACAGTATTTGGCATGAAACCATTTTCTATCATTCGATCAAGGTATACACAGCCCTTTTCAATCATGTTCTTCTTAACTAACCCATGTATAAGAGCAGTATAAGCATAGTGGCTTGGTTGAACTCCATCTTCCAACATTTTGTCGAAGAGCTCATGGGCTTGAATAGCTCGTCCATTTATTGATAGAGCATTAATCATTGTCACAAACATAGTTTCATCAGGATAAATTCTATCCTCGAGCATTCTCCGGAAAACTTCAAGGGCCTCATCTATTCTCTTTTGTCTTCCCAAACACCCAATGATGGAGTCATATATCGCAACACTAGGCTTCAATCCACTCTCTTCCATTTGGTCCAGAACTTCAAATGCTAATTGTGTGTCACCCTGTTTGCAGTATACATTCACCATAATCAAGAATGTTGCTTGATTTGGAACTTGACCTTGATCTTGCATAACTTCAACAAAGGATTTGGCATCCTCAAGTAGTCCGTTTTGGTAAAGGCACTTGATCATAGAGTTATAAGCTGACAATGAAGGCTGAAGAGAAAGGCTTGCCATCTTGTCCATGCAAAGAAGAGCAGAATCAAGTTTTCCTCCTAAACACAAAGCAATCATGTATATATTGAAAGCAACATTGGCCAGAGGTAAGTTTCTTGCCACAATTTCTCCCAAGAGATGATCAATATCAGACACGATATCTGTAGTAACTGTTCGACTGGTAGGGCTAGGGATGTCAGAAAGGTCAATACCACAACCATTCTTCGCAATTGCCCGCAAAAAGGTGCATGCTAGAGTAATCTCTGACCCTCTTGGATAATTGTTGACCAAGGTAAAAAACAAAACATGGTCAGGAACCAATCCATTATCCAACATCTTATTGTACAAGACATCTACTTCTGCTAACCGATTCTCTTTATAAAGTGCAGCAATTAAAGCAGTATAAGAGTGCACACTGGGAGCAACGTTGCACTGAATCATGTTATTTAACAGCATCAACGCACAGTCAACTTTATGATCCTTGCAATACTTGCCAATCATGATTTGGTAACTTACTGCATCAGGTTCTAATCCAAATTCAGCCATCTGCTGATGTAGCACCCAACCTTTGTCTAACATGCCCAAGCTAAAAAACCCGTGCATCAGCGTGTTGTAAGTATACTTATCCGGTTCACATCCCAACTTAAGCATTCTAAGAAACACCCTCATAGCCATTTTCATTTTCTTGTTCTTCGAATACCCGTTAATGAGAGTTGTGTACATGACTTTATCTAGAACAAAACCATAAGACTCCATATCCATGCTCAACAACTCAGCTTCCTCGACTCGACCCCTCTTACACAACGAAAGAACCAATGTCTTAAACAAATGAACATTGGGTGACACCCCTCTCTCACACATTACATCAAACACATAGAGTGCCTCATCTAAGAACCCCCGACGGCTCAAGCCATCCACTAACCTATTGTAACAACTGAAACTTAGTGATACTCCAGCATCAATAGCCACTACAAAAACATCAAACCCATCCAAGATGCTATGTTGGCCACAAAATCCCTTAATAAGTGCATTACACGTGCTACTACAAGGCCTCAATTTCATATCCAATAGTTTATCAAAAAGCAATTTTGCTTCATCTAATTTACCCAAATTACAATAACAAATGGCCATGGAATTCAATAAAGACTGGTCTTTCGGTTCAATACCTCTCTTCAAAATGCAATATACATAAATATCCTCAGCCATTTGGGTTTCACCAGATGCCACGAGTTGTCGAATGAGAAAACTGTAGCTAGTTACATCAGGCTCGACACCGCGAGAAATGGAGAATTCAACGGCTGAGATAGCTTCAGAGACTGATGAGGATTGCTTGATGATTCTCTGAATCACTTTCTGAGCTGAACCGAATAACCCGCGAAGTATTAACTGCTCTGCAAGTGAAAAACACAAGGTCTTGTGATTATTAATTGGGGAGGATGTGGGAACAGTAGATGATATTGCTTCAGCAGGTAAATGGCAAGCAGTAAAAGGTCTCTTTGTTGTTCTAGACAGATAGGAGAAGCACAGCCAATGGTGTAGTCCAAGTCTATGCTTGCTCATGGCGTTGCTCAGGAACTGAGAAAACACCGCCGGCGACGTGGAGAGGAAAGAGACGGCGGGTTACGCATTTTTTAGGTTAATAATCCAGTGAAGGTAACGTCATAAAGACAAACGACTGTTAATATATACATTTGTACCTCATAAATTAATCACAACTAATTCTAACTAGCATAATATGGTCGCTTTGGAAGTTTAGAAATTTATTCAAATTGAATAAGATTATTACTATTGCTGACTTGTTTTGTACCCTTTAATTGTATTTTATAATTCAAACAAATAGTAGTTTTTATGATATGTATTTAATTTTTAATTAAAATATTGTAACAATTGACACGATTTATACATGCAATGCTAGAAACAAAAACAAAGGAACAAAAAAAAAAGGAAAAGAAATAATTAGAATTTATAAGAAAAGACGGCTCATACCTTGAAAATAAAGGACCTGTTTCATTGTTAGAGCACAATAACTGTTACGCGGCGCCTTCCTGAGATTCCTTAGAAGGGCGACGTAAGGCTAGGCAACTGATGTCAGTGCAGTTGTTGTCCGCCAACTGAGGTCCCCTCCGTACGCTAGACGAGATTGTCAGTGCTGTACGGGAAAACCAATGTCAAGAGCAATTGAGATAACAGAAATGAGAATTCAGAATGAAAGAAAGCTTGATTGCATTAATGAAAGCTATTACAGAAAAGCAACGCGGTGTCGAGGGGGAGAGACACCAGTACAGAGAATTGCTTGCTTGCTAGAAAGTTTTGATTGCTTAATCCCCCCTAATTGTACTTAAAAAAAATAATCCAAAGTTACAAGACTAGACTTGACTAAGCTAGAGAAACATAATGGAAGTACATGAAATAAAACTACTCTATATTTACAATGAAAATGACTTAGTTTTCTATAAGGCAGCAGCAAGTCCGTTGTCAACAGCAGTGTCTTTGGCATCACGGTCTGCGAGCGAGGCGTTGTCTGCGCGCGCGGCGCTGTTGGCTTCTGCCTGCGGCTTGGCGCTCGCGAGGGATATCGGTGGGGCGACAGAGGCACCTGCGCGCTTGTCACTTGGCGCGGCCAAGACCACGGGGCCGTCCGTGGCGCTAGGCATTTGGAGGTTCGCTAGGACGCCACGGGGCGCGCCCAAGGGGTCATGGGGCATGGCTGGAAAGCCGCCCATGACATAACACATGAACGGTATAAAAGAAAATATATATTCACAAAAAAAAAATAGGTCATTTAAACTTTATTAGTTAGGATTTTTAATTTAACATGCAGAATTCACGTGAGCATTTTGTTTTTATTTTTTCATCAAAAAAGAAAAAGAAGGCACATTCATGGAGTTAGCTCATACTCATAGAGGGATGCTTCAATTACACAAAAAGTTCATTAGAAACACTGTTATGTGTTTTTTTCCTTTTTCTTTATCCGATTTTTGACTTCAGAAATAATATACCTGCTTTAGAAATAGATCGATAGATATTACATACCACTAAAAATGAAAGAAAAAAAAAAGTGCGCCTCATATTCAGGATTGTGCATTTGTTTTATATATTTACTACTCCAAAGTGACCTACCTGCTTCAGTTTCTAGTCAAAATCATTTTATTGCCTTCAATCAGTTTTCTTTTATTTCGTCGTTGTGCATTAGCCTTCTAAAAGCCTACTCAATGCTGTGCAGACGAAACCGCTCGATCGATGCGTGAAAACACATTTGATTAACGTTTTAGAAATAGAACTCAAAAATTAAACCTAAGTAACAAACAAACAAAGAATATCAGTATCGAAAAAGAGCAACCAAAAAATGTTACGCGAAGCAACAATGAATAAAATATTGGGAAATCATGTAACATTCCAAGGGTAATCTCTTCGGCGGAGTTTATTAGATTTCTGAAGGGCATATTGAGAGGAAAACGAGTTTGCCAAAGTATTCTGATATATTTGTATAGGTCCAAATTTGACGACTCGACGGTAACGGATAAGTAAGGCAATGGATGGAGTCGACCATGATAAAATGATTGAAGGTTGCTCTCACAAAGGCGGGTACCAAAAGTGGGCAGCCGAGGTGAGAGAATAACGGTAGAATAGGTGCAGAAGTAGATGTAAAGAATATCCGTAAAGAATATTCCTTTGGATATTCTTTATGCCGTACTTTTTAGGGTTTTGGGGGAATATCCCTTATAAATAGGAAGAGATAGAGAACAAATGGGGGATTTTTCTTCTTGACTCTCTCTGATAAGAACATATTGTAAAGGCTGACAAAAGGGAATATCCAAAAGTTGTCTTGTTCGTTCGTAATATTATTGAATCACATGTTGTTCAACCTTTATCCATAGATCCAAAGATTCCACACCCCTCTTAACTTCTCACTTTTTCACGTCGCTGACAGAGAAAAGGAACATTCCAACCGTATAATAATTGGGCGGTGGATCTTTTCTTATTGCATTCATTGACATTATTTGCATTTATTACATATTCATGCTATCATATTTATTGTCAATCATAGAGTATTAAATCCATTATTTATTGCCCTTGCGCACTACTCGTCTCACGAGTATTCCACGTTATTTGGTCTAGAATTTATTAAGTTCAACTAAGATTCACCCTTTAATTCATCATTAGTTGTTATAGTAAAAAGGTTTAGCTCTTTTTATTTTTTGCTCAAACAATTTGGCGCCGTCTGTGGGGAGGTTTTAGTTGAAATTTTAGTTCCTTCTAGATCATAAAAAAGATAGCCATCTATTCTTCGTTTATACAAACTAACGATGGCAGGAAAAGGAGCGGCAAGACAGAAAGCAATAGCAGGTGTCACCACTAACATTTTGAACACCATCAACGAGGATGACAGGGAAAACAATGAGAATGTGACACCAGACGCTACACTCAGGCGGAGTGACTCACCTCCTCCTCATGAGAGTGTAACCGCTTCACACAATAGAGGAGCGTCAACGTCCATGGTTGAGGAAGCACCGCCAGTAGTGAGAAAATTATTGGAAGAATGGCTGACGAGTACTCTGAACAACATACTCGACAAACCTATTCAAAGGGAGAATAGAAACACCACGCAAGCAGACATCACAATGATAACTGGCGAACGGTCCACCCCCCAAACAGGCAACACTTACACCACTGTTGATGCAGGTAATGACGCACTGACAGCCATTTTGAAGAAAATGGAAGAAATGAAAAACGAAAACAAGGCACTCCGCGACTAGATGAGGGAGCATCAAGAAAGGGTCGACAAGATACCAGGAGGCCCAAAGTTGCTACCAAAATGAGACGTTGGCCGATTTGTCGAACAACCATACAGCGAGGAAGCGACTCCACATGCCATTCCCAAGACCTTCAAAATGCCACCGTATTTGAAGATATACGACGGTACTACAGACCACAAAGATCACATCATCCATTACGATGGTACCATCAGTGTTACTGAAAAAGTTCAGCGAAACCCTAACGGGGGGAGCCTTAACCTGGTATTCACAACTGTTGGCACGGTCAATAACAACGTTCGAGGAAATGACCGACAAGTTCGTCACCACCCACGTCGGGGCTAAAAAGGCAGAGGCCAGAGTAAATGATATATTCGCCGTTAGGCAATCGCCTGGCGAGGGACTCAGGGACTTCCTCGCCCGGTTTAACAGGGTGAGAATGAGACTACCTAATGTATCAAAAGGGATGGCGGTAGCAGCTTTCCAGAACGGGTTGAACAGGAACGGGTCGAGAGCAACCAGAAAGCTACTAAGCAGGCTCATGAAATACCCTCCCACCACCTGGGAAGAAATCCACAATTCCTACTGTGCCGAGGTGAGAGCCGACGAGGACGAACTTAACGGTCTGACCCAACGGTTGACGTCAGTTCAAACGGAGTCGAGAAAAGATCGTCGTAACGACGGTCGAAGAGATCAGTCAGGCCCCCGTCTCAACGGAGAAAGACACCAACCCCGCGTTAGAGCAGCCATCCCACCGTCTCCTCGACATGCGGAAGGGCCGTCCAGGCCAAATACAGGGACTCAGCGAAATGAAAGAGGTATGCCTCCACTCTTATCTGCTCATAATTTTGTGTTTCCCCTTCAGCAATAGTGTACGCACTAGAGAAGCTTGGCACAAAGGTGAAATGGCCGCAAAAGATGAAGTCCGACCCTAGCACCCGAAAGTCGAACGTCCTCTGTGAATTTCATCAGGAGTGGGGTCATAAAACCGAGGACTGCATAGCTCTACGGCAAGAGGTAGTGAACATGCTAAACAAAGGGCACCTGAGGGAGCTGATGAGCGATCGTGGACGAGCCAATTTTGGCCGCGGACGTGAACAACACCAGGGCCCTCCAAAGCCAACATCCCCTGCCCGCACCATCCAAATGATCATCAGTGGAGGTGATAAAGCAGCAATCAACCATGTGAAGTTCACCACCACACACAAATTGAAGCGGTCGATCACCCACGAACGGTACGACGACCTTGGAGACAGTATCATCTTCGATAAGTCAGATGCCGACGGTTTGGCTTTCTCTCATTTCGATGCTCTTGTTATTACTTTACATATTTCAGATACTGATGTGAAAAGAATAATGGTAGACGACGGAAGCGGCGCGTGTATTATCCACCCTCGAGTTCTCACACAAATGAGACTCGAAGAAAAGATAGTACCACGCTGCATAACATTGACAGGTTTTAACAATGTAGTTGAGCGAACCACTGGGGAGATAATGCTACCCGTTTTGGCCGGGGGCGTCACCCTAGAAACGACGTTCCATGACATGAACCAAGACACGGCTTACAATGCCATCATAGGGCGGCCCTGGATACACGCCATGGGGGCCATCCCATCAAGTTTGTATCAAGTGATCAAATACCCTACTCCATAGGGGATATTCAGCATCCGAGGCGAACAGCGCACCGCCCAAGAATGCTATCGTATCTCCTAGGATTGCACGTACACTCAGCAGCTAAAAGGAACAAACTCAGAGGCATAGCAATTACCAAAGTCGGGGACCGAACTCGACACACAAACAGATGTCATCAGGGACCTCGACATCGCGGAAGATGCTGAGTCGACGGTAGAAGACCTCGATCCCGTCCAATTGACAGCATCGACAGCAACAATAAGGCTTACATCGGACATAAACTTTC